TGATGGCGCTGAGGAGACAGAGACGTGCGCGAACCTTTCAGGAGAGGAAGAATGTTCTTGAAATGTTTGACGATGAGCAGTTAATCAAACAGTTACATTTCCTCAGTTTTTCAAACAGAAAACGAGCAAATAATATTTACATTAACAAAGAACATCATAACTGACTTCAGTCTAGTGCAAGTATTATATGCTCTTTAAAAACACTACCGTTATCATCAGTGAAGCTACCTACACTGTATCATGAATAAATCCATAGGCAGAGGTTTGTGTAAGGCTTAGCCTTCCCCTGGCCACGGGGACTTGGGGCAAAAATGCCACTACATTGGACAAAAATGCCTCTGCACAAACAAATTCAATCTATTACGTCTGTTGCTAACAAAGTGAAAATGAACAGACAGTGTTGATTGTGGCATCAAATTAAGATCTGCTCATGTTGCACCGTATTTCATTTTAGATGTTTTTACAGTGTTGCGCATTTTAACCAATCACACACAATTCTGTTGAGCTTAGGAATGCAATGGCTAATCAGAGGCATTCAGATGAGTCATCGCTGAAACTCATTCGTGCGTGCGTGTTCTCTGACTGAATTCCGCGAATTCTCTCATCAAAAACAACAAAGCGCAGATGTACGTACAATGTAAAAGATTCATTTCACAGTGTATACAGCTTCAGAGATTATAATGATAGTTTTTTTTGTTGAGAGCGCTTAAACTCGCGATAGATCAAAGTTAGTGATAATGTCACTTTCTATATATAATTTATTCGCTGTTCGAATAACCGTGGAAAGGAAACGTTATATAGCCTAATTATCAATTTCGAATGTTTTTATTAAATTGTAATTACGTTAAATACAAATTCAGTCCCATTAAACATATTATATTAGCCTACATGACACCCATGTCTGGTTGTTGCCTAAAAAGAAAAAAATTGCCTAAAAAGACGGGTTTATGATGTTTAATACATTTGGCTGCTTATAGCCTTACCCTGGAGTTGGTTCATCCTCCGCCTATGAAAAAAACTCTTACCCCTTATTTACACTGCACATGTCTGCGGCACGTTACGGCTCCGACACGGCCACAGGAGCTGATTATGGCTACTCACCAGCCACGTCGCGGCAAATTTCTAAAGCGGCTCTTCACGCTGCATCACTAAAGATAGATGCCTAAGACGCCTATATTTTTGACGGATAATAATAATAATCGTCTTGCTGTCGTCAAAAAAAATCATCAACAGGCGATATCTCTGGCTATCGTCGATACACGATACTATCGTCTACCAGCACAACCCTAAATTGAAAGTTGTGATGGCGATTAGTTTCTTTACCATAATGTATTCTCTTGAAAATTCTTTATTGTCAAATGTGTGTTGACTGTAAACTCCTATTAAAGGGGTCGTATGATGTTGCTAAAAAGAACATTATTTTGTGTATTTGGTGTAATGAAATGTGTTTATGCAGTTTTGAATGTAACCATTCAATGTGAATTTATCTGAGAATATTCTTAAAATAAGGAAATCTATTCAGTGATTGGTCCATGCATATTTCGTCATCCAAAATCCCGTTTGTGGCACAGCAAAGTGTTGTGAATCATCTCTAAGACTGACACTTAAGATTTAGTCCTACACTTCGCTTAAATTACAACTGAGATGCGTGATAACTAACTTTTATGCGCAGCTTTGAGCCAAGAATTTTTTTACACTTAAGTCAATTCTTAGCAGCGTTCTTGAGAGTAATTCTCAGAGGCTTCATAAATACGGGCATTGATTAATATTAAAAGCCCTTCCCAGCAACCACCTGACTCAGGCCCAGGTGTCCTGAGCAAATAGTTTAATTTTGTCATTCAATAGATATCATTGTCATATCCTCATACTTTTTTTACACTCTTTATATATTAAACTAATTTGTAATGAATTATCTTTAACTATGACTAACTTTTCATAATAAACTCTTCACTATCACTGAACTAAATGTAACGAGTGAAAAAGATGTGGCCCCTTTAAGAGTGAGCACTCACTTCTGAACTGTCTGCATCACATGTGCACCACGAGCTCACGTATATGCGGGTAAATTATTTTCTGTTGCTCAAAGTAAGGCTGTTGACAGTAGGACGTTTGTGGAAGACAGTTATATGGGTTCACCTTGAGTTAGGATGGAATAAAGCTGTGAAACACCAACTGCAAACCGATCCCACTTAAATCCCATCTGAAATCAGCCCGTTCGCACACAATGTATATATGAATGCCCATAGAAAATATTGAAAGCATTGGAGGTTATGAGCAATAGGTACTCCCCGATTCACTTTACTGTTCTAAAATCCGTGACGCTTTGACATTGTATTCTCACATAACTAGATAAACGCTTGCTGCTGCTGCTGTTATACAATAGTAATTACTCCTCTCTCGAAGTTTCGAAGTTTAAAGCTGATGAACACAACAATGCACTGAAATGAGAAGAAAAGACTGTTCACTTATCTGGATGTTGAGTTTCAGAGGAACTCTGAAAGCGCGCTGCAATGCTCAAGCGAATGCTAAGCAGTCATTTAAATGTAAAGCAGCAAGCTCATTGACTGCGTATGCAACATGAACCAGTCAGCTTGTGACAAGTCGTTTAATGCTAAGAATATCATCAGCTACATTAAAGGACCCATCAGCCTGCGCCATCTAGAGTTTCATGACAGAACTTGGTATACAAGTAAAAGGACAAAATTATTAAAAGATATGAGAGTTGTAATATTTGTTTGCTTGTTAGTTTTGGCATGTTTATACATAAACCTTAAATAAAAAAAATATTATAAAATAATAATTTAAAACTGTAACAATGTGGATCATACATTCAATATCTCTGGTACTTAGTGGAGAAGAGGAGAGAAGTAAGATATTTTCTAGAAAGAGACAAATATTTGTCTCCATCAAAAATGATAAAATATTTATGCTCCTCACCACACACCCCACCTAAACCTACCATCTCGATTTAGCTGTTTACACTGAGCTGAGATGGCCCTCGTCCTTTGAACACCATTTCGGACTTTCTGGATTTATTTTCATGTATCTGGGCATGGTGTCCAGTTGAGAGATGGACAGTGCACAGCCTGACTTGGACTTTGAAAGAGGTCTGTGTCATGGATTTAAAATTATAACCCATAACATGTGTTCTGCAGAAGAAAGAAAATAATGTCATACAGTACAGTGTGGTGGGTTTTGGTATTGCAGTGTACCAAATAATACTAGAGCCCACACGTCACTTATTGTGGGTGTGGGTATCAGATGGCACCTCCCTCCATTCCTCGGGGCACCAGCCAAGGCCTTTTTAACTTTGACAATAAAGAATTAGAATTACAAAAATTGGAGGGAGTTTACCATCTGACTAATCTGAAGGTTAAGTGAGATTCTGGCAAGCTTCTAGAGCCTCTAATTATCAATACAAGAATGACAGTGTTGCAATAAAAATGTATTTATTAACAAAAATATATATAAGAGTAAAATATCACACTCGCTATATACTACTAAGGAAAATGACTAAACTACTAAGAAGACTGAATCAATAATCAAACAGAAGCTACAAACTATTACACAAATGGGTGTTAACTGAATGAATGCCGAGTAAATGTGCAATGAATGGGTTGTTAGTTTATGGGGAAGTCAATTGTGGTCACTCTGGATGCTGGTATGGAATAGTAAATAAGCATTTACAATGAATACAGATAACGTGCATAATGTATCTATCTGTATACACTGACCCTGGATAAACAGTCTCTACACAAATAGCAATCTCATATAGCAACAACCTAATGCCAAGGCCTTTGGGAAAAGGTTTGGTTAGCTTATATTTATTACTAATCCCCTTCTTTCCAACTGTAGTGATGTGATTGGGTCGTAGCATTCCAGGTGTCCCACATTTCCATCCTGAGGAGCTTGTTGCCTTGTCCCAAAATACACAGTTAAATAAAACAGTGTCTTTAGGACCTTGGGAATACTTTATTTATTTTCCAAACCTTTTCCAAAGTCCTTGTGGCAATGTCTGAACTCATAGAGTCCAAACTTAATGTGAATTGGTTGAGGTATCACCCAGATGTACATATCTGTGTCAGTGGGCGAGATCACATTGGCTGTTATTCCAGGTGTGGTTTCCACTGTGTGTACACAGTTCCCTGGATGAATAAGGAGATGTATAGGACATGTTCCTTACAGTATTCCTGTCCATTTTTGGTGGTTTAAAGCCAATGTGTGTATATAGATTGTCTCTCTCTTGGGGCCTTTCTTTGTCCTTGCTGCTGGCCAGAACTGGCTGGTGGCCCTGATGGCCTAGGCTGTTTGTATCTTGGCTCCAGACGCAGAGAGCAGAGATGAACAATGGGCATTGTGCCTGTGATTAATGGGCCATTGATGTAGTCTCTCCTGTCCTCCACCTCTGGCAATCCTGATTACAATGATCCTTTAGTTGTTGTTGAGTTTCCTATCAAACCCTCTTGTCTAAACCACAGTGGGACAAAAAGGATTCCTATTGTGACGTGTAGACTTCTGGTGCCATTATGTCTGTTGTTCACGACATCAGTTTGTCCAGTGATTAAATTATTCACAAATGTATTTCTGTCATGACAACTCTCGGAGGGATTGGCATGGTAATGTACATGACAATATAAATGTATTTGGTCTTGGCGGAATAGATCTGCTACGCTGCTGCTGCGGCAGAGCAAGTACCGAGACTTGCTACTGCCAATACATCCACAACATGCTGCTGTGAGCATGTAAGAAATACTGCTGCTGCACATATAACACATATGAATAACCCCCATATAGCATACATGAAGCACCCTGTAGCAGATCTATACAGGTGGAGCTGGGGAAGGTGGACGGTTTCTGAAGTGCGTTGCAAAACTGCTACAGCAAACAAAAGCCAGGTATTTGAATATTAAGCAGTAAGCTCATTGGCTACCGATACAGGAGAGAACCAATCAGCTGCCATGTGACAATGATGTCGCCAGGTCAGATTGAGCTAGACCTATTGGACTGCGCCATCTAGAGTTTTATGCCAGAACTCTGTATTTTTTTAAAGATTCAGAACAGTATGTGTCAAATCTACATTTCTAACTTCTAGAAGGCAATGAAAATCATTAAAAATTAATTAATACAAATGTGGGATTTGATGAGTTTGTGTGCATGTGGACATTAGAGAGAGAGTTTACAAGTGTGTGTTTGTGTTTTAATCTGACACAGAGACACTGAGGAATAAACCCTAAATCCAGCATAGAGGGGTTCAGTGAATGTGGTGTTAAATGTGTATAAGTGTGTGAGTGTGTGTGTGTCAGAGATGCTGTAGAAGGACAGAGTGCCAGCCAACACATCCACATACACTCCTACTCTCTTAGTGGAAGAACGGTCGGCAGGTAAATCAGTGTAATTATTATTGTGACGGACAGCAAATCCTTCATCAGAACACCACAGACTCCAGGATTTGTCACTGAATCCAAACCAACAGTCATCAATGCATCCTTTCCTGGTGATTCCTTTATATGCCACTGATATTTCAGCATGCCCAATCCATTCAGCCGCCCAGTAACAGCGTCCAGTCAGACTCTCTACACACAGAACCTGAGGAATATCATCAAATCTGTCTGGATGATCAGGATACGGCTGTTCCTCTAACACACGTGTCATCTTCCTGTTCTCATCAGACAGGACGAGACGAATATTTGCTGTGTTTGGATCCAGTGTGAGATCACAGGCATCTGAACACAAGAAGAGAGAAACATCTTTAACAACAAAACAACAGACACTAGACAAATGTCTGTGTGTGTGTGTGTGTGCGTGCGTGTACGTGTGTGAGTGCGTGTGTGAGTGTGACTCTGCGCGTGTGTGTGTGCGTGTACGTGTGTGTGTGTGTGTGTGTGAGAGAGTGTGTGCGTGTGTGTGCGCGTTTTTGTGACAGATGAGGACATAAATTTGTATAATGACAAGGGTATGACATAGGTATTACAAGGAGAAGGTGACTTTTCAGGACATTACCCCATGTCCCCACTTTTCAAAACGCTTATAAATCACACAGAATGGAGTGTATTGAAAATCTGAAATAGCACAAAGTTTCCTGTGAGGGGTAGGTTTAGGGGTAGGGTTGGTGTAGGGCAATAGAATATACGGTCTGTACAGTATAAAAACCATTACGCCTATGGAGAGTCCCCACTTTTCAGAAAAACAAACGTGTGTGTGTGTGTGTGAGAGAGAGAGAGAGAGAGTGTGTGTGTCTGAGGGGGAGAAAGGGAGAGGCAGAGGATCTCAAAGAAAGATTTCTTCTTTCAACTTAAACCTCTAATTCGAAGAATGGTCATTCCTTGCACAAGGAAGTAGTGTTGGGTCGTTCTTGAACGATTCATTCATTTTGAACGAATCTTTAATGTGACTCGGGAAGAACGAGTCGTCTCGGGGAGTGATTCGTTCAGTCGCGCATGCGCAACATCCTATAGGTTCTAGTGTGTGTGTGTGAGTGAGTGTGTGTGTGTGTGTGAGTGTGTGTCTATGAGTATGTGTAAGTGTGTCTGTGTGAGTGTGTGCGTGTGTGTGAGTGTATGAGTATGTGTGTGTGTCTGTGTGTTTGTCTGTGTGTGTGAGTGTGTGTGTGTCTGTGTGTGTGTATGTGAGTGTGCATCTATGAGTATGTGTGTTTGTGTCTCTTGCTGTGTACCGCGCTGCTGAGTGTTTTGTGATTGTAGCTCCGTGTAGCTTTGCTTTTCTGTAGAATCTCTATCTTACAATCACTCTGTTGTTTAAAGTGATAAAATATAACTTAATTCCCACCATATTTCCGATATTATCTATCAAACTAATCTGATTAATTTGATCATTCGCTTTTATTCTAAAACCGCGAGTGCAGCGCACCTGCAGCGCGTTAGCATTCATTAGCTGGTTAGCTTGTCATTAGCGTTTCCATTCGTGTCTATTGCTGATTTCTTTTTTTTTCTCTCGCTCCGTTTCTTTTCTCTCTCGCTCCATTTTTTCACAAGTTCATCAAACAACTGTGGTAAGTAAGAATCATTCATCAATCACGGTGAGTAATGGCTTCTTCTCCTGCTATTGTTGTTTGCACCGCTTGCCACATGTATAGTTTATCTCTCTCTGTCAGCGATGAGGAATTCACATGTGATAAATGCAGGGAAATAGTTAGGCTGACAGAGAAGATTTCAGAATTAGAGACATGCATCCAAACTTTAATTGAGGACAGTATGAATGTGAGGGCTCTAGATACGGCTTTGGATGCGACTAGCTCAGGGAGTCCTGTACATTGTCAGACACTGTAATATGCTCTGGTCCCCTCCCTGCTTATCGTGGCGATGAGATACATAGCAGACTGTCATCACTCAATGGCTGGATGTCACTCAAGTGGTGCCCGCAGAATAACATAGGTTTCATAGACAATTGGATGAGTTGTAAAGGGGAAGGTGTTGCTACAATTTATAACAATATTTTCAGTATTTCTCAGAGGGCAAGCTTCAAGTAGAACTCGTTTGAAGTAGTAATTTGGTAGAAAAACAGTGTTTTTACGTTTTATTGGTGCAAAGATGAGTAGTCGTGATATTTATTATGTACAATATTTGCAACTGCTTTTTATCACTTAATTAGAAGCACCACAAATTAAAATTGTCACGTTATAGGGACAACTGAACAGACATTTAGAAGTTGATTTTAAAATGCAAAGTATTTAAAATTAAAATTAAAATAAAGCTATGTAAACA